CCGTATTCTTTACGTTGCATTTTCATGCGAAAGCGACAAATGGCAAAAAATTTCTGAAAACAGACTGTGTTAATTTCTTGAGACCGTTAGTACGCCACTCTTCATACTGCTGTACATTCCTCGCGGTGCAATTCGGAATGCCTCATACACAAGATAGCAGCGGAGGAAAATTAATTATACTGAAATAATTTTTAAGGGTGACACTGACTGGCGCACTGCTGGTACCTCATATCTGAGTGCTGCATTGAGGACACCATCATTCTGGGAGCATCGTTTTACATCGATTGGTCGAGAAGTGCGCGAAAGCAATCCAATCTCATTCGAAAGCCTTGCAAGGTTTCTATTTACCCGTTTTTGCATCACTTATGAAAGTAAAAACGCCTATTGTTGAGAGCGCTGTGTGCGTGTATATATGTGTATGTGTGTTTAACCTCGTGCTTGAATTCCAGAGGTAAGAAAGCCAGATTTTTGAAATTTATGGACAAAAGTTATTTTCGGGTCCCAAAACTGAGCTCTATGTCTTGCTGGATCTTTGATCTCAGGTCTAAATTTGGATGAGCATGGCCGCAAGGTCAAAAAGCAAACTCGAACCTTTTATTTTAATCTCAACTTCACGCAACTTTTGTAATCTCAGAAACAAAAGGGTGCATGCTTAAAATCCTAAGAGCAAGTCCACTGATCACGGACAAACCGGCAAATCTGAAATCAACCCACATCTTCTTTCGTATCCTGATTTATAAGACCGGATCCATCCTTGTCAGTTTATAGCTCGTGAATAAAGTTGCGAATTTGAACGTTGAGAGCTTAATTTGTCATACAAAGTTGAGAGCTTATTTAATTTTTCATGCACTTAGATGCAGATTCTGTCTCATACTTTCAACGTTCGAGATCTGGCAGCTATAACTAAACCCCGAATTGCTAAGGTGAATCTTTTCATTTCACTTGTCTGATTCCTAGCATTTAGTTAACATCGTGTGGATACTATTCGACAGTCTGTTTTGCTTTTTTTCTTTTCTCACATTCTCGCCATACAAACAGCTCAGTTCTAGCGTAAATGCTAGACTACAAGAGCAGCATTTCACTAGAGGTATGCTTACAGCTGGTGGCACTTGATAAGCATCTCTTTATGTTTGAAACTCGTCGTAAAGTTATGCAGAATTGATCTGTAAATTGTAACTGACGAAAATAAACAAACACAACGAACAAAAAAATGCTCAAAATGCGACCCATACGTGCTAGAATATGATGCGTAAGGTAGTGCAACATTCCTAATATTATAGGCAAATACTAAAAATCAGCTCGCTTCGACTTGTGTCATACACGATCTGTGAAAGATTTTTTCGAGTGTCCTTAACCCGCCGCGGCAAAAGATGCCGGATGCCGCAGATGGGGTGGTGGTGAAGGTTGTGTGTGGGTGCGATGATGCGTTTTGTGCATAGTTCCCCGCAGCTTTCATTGCTACCGGCACCGGCTTTTTCGGCAAATGCTTCTGGCTAAACAAAGTAAGACTGCCGCCACAACTGTCAGAAAACATCCCCTCAAAATTTCAGCTTTCTAGCTTCCCTGGCACCTGAGTTAGCAACTTGCTGGAACAAAATTTTCAAGAACCGTGCGTGTTTACCAAGCATACCCGAGAGTTAGGTTCGAGCTGAATGAAACTTAGGTGGACGGGGTTTATCCTCTTAAAATTACAGTCCTTTAGCGTCTCAGGTACTCGAGTTAACTTACCCGAAAGGAATTTTGGCGAGCTCATATACGGGTACCACGCTTACCCAGGGGCTGGGTTTGAGCCCACCAATACCCACTTGGACGAGGAATATCACCCTAAGATTTCAGATTTCCCGCTTCTCAGATCCCCGAGTTTTGAACTTACCCGAAAAAAATTTTGGCGGGCTCGTACGCGGGTGCCACGATTACCCGAAGGCTGGGTTTGAGCTCATTAGCACCTACTTCGACGTGGAACATTCCCTTAAAATTTCAGCTTTCTAGCTTTTCTGGTTCGCGAGTTATCAACTTACCCGAAGAAAATTTTGGCGGGCTCTTACGCGGGTACCATGCGGGTAAGACCGCCCATTTCGGGGATGGGGGCCCGTACGTGCATGTAGATTATGTCCCCAAATTTTCAGCCCTGTAGCTTTCACCGGTCTAGAGATGAAAAATCGGTACAGACGAACACACAGACACACAAACAACCCCTCGTCGG